TTTGTTAAATTTCATAACCATCATTATATTTCTGAAGGTGGGGAAAGAACCCTTGAAACATTAAATAATCGATACATGTAATTAGTGAGCTGTTAGGTATGTGATTGTTGAAATAAATAATTAAGTAAGAAAATATTCACAAAATACCAGATATAATAATACATGACTTTTGAATCATATAATTATCATATAATTTTGAATAATTGAACAGATAGGATGAAATTATGAACAATTCTCTGTCTAACAAAATTCAGATCCGATTTTTAGTTTCTGAGATAATTTAATCCATACCCAAAAACACTTCAATTAGTCGACTCCAGCCGACTTTACCCGAGCGCCACACATCGGAGATCTGACGACTCAATCTAATTCACTCTCCACAAAAAAAAATGCAAAACGCGCCTAAATAATATTTAACTTTGAAAAAAAAAAGTAAAAAAATAAAAGAATTATATAATAAAAATAATGGACTGTATAAAATTGAACAAAAAAAATCTTGAGCATTTATTATTCCATAACAACAAATAATAAAGAGGAAAAATCTGGTGCAGTGCGAGCATCCCACAACTTTCACTTACCAACACAAAATAGATAGATTTTCAATCACAAAATAGATAAAAAAATTATGTCTTACAGAAATATTATTCCGTTTGTCTTATATAAAATCGTTATTTTGACAATTTGGGGGGGTAGGTCACGCCAAACGGTTCAGAATTTTTGAAGGCCACCTTTTTTTCTCTATTTTTTTATCAAATTATCTTACATATAAATAATCGATACATGTAATTAGTGAGCTGTTAGGTATGTGATTGTTGAAATAAATAATTAAGGAAGAAAATATTCACAAAATACCAGATATAATAATACATGACTTTTTCCTCTTAAGAGAGGTATTAATGATGATAAATTATTGTTGAAAGCCTACATTTGATTAATTCAAATTATTATTTCCTAAGCAAGCAAATATTATCGAATAGAAAATAATAAATAATAAATAGTACAGAAAAAATAGACGAAATTCGACCAAATAAATAACCAAATTTATACATTTGGTCAAGAAACGTTGGTCATAACTTCATTTTGGTGGTTGGAATCGAGATGTGCCGATCTCACCCGAATCTCAGAGCGACAAACCTTTCTAAGAGAGGGGGGAGGGAAGTAGAAATTGGCAAAATAATTGCTCAAACTAAGTCGAGTAATATATCCGATTGTTATGGTTTTTGGTTTCTGAATCGAACGAAACTACTTCTATAGTAATAGAGAATATAGAAAATTATTTTATACGCCGCTGGACAAAATTAAAGGGTCACTTACAAATTTCGGTATAATTTTTTGATAATGAAAACAATAAATATTTCTATGCTGCTAAATTGAATTAGCGTAATACTTCATCAATTGCATCCTTAAACTGCAAACATCAATCACTCCTTGAAATTAAGATGATAACTTAAACAAATTTTTTGAATTCATGCTCACAGTTCTACAGTAGTCTTGAATACGTACACGCAACTTTAACGCGCTTAAACCATTTTAAAGACTACAGTTTTGGTTGTAAAGTAATTTAGAACATTTTGATGTCAAATAGTAGGGAATTAACCGAAGAGTAATCGATCTGTGTTCTTATGGAAAAAGGTGTTTCACAAAGCCACATTGCACAGAGGTTCCAGCGGTCACAATCCGCGATTTCCAGAGCGATGATTAGGTATATGAGACTGCTGGCCATACCAGAAGAAGGGAGCAAGGTCGTCCAAGGTCAAATTCTCGGCACAGACGAAAGATTGTTACAAATGGACGCTCTTTGATATTGCAATTCTACATGAAAACAAACGACTGATTTTTCTCCTGCTGCGGTTCAGGAGCGTATAAATTTCAGTACGAACAGTGAGAAGACGACTTAGTAAGTGTGTATTGACGTCCCATTCTCCAGCAACTGTATCTTTGCTTTCCAGGGAGCACCGAATTCAGCGCTTGAGTTTTTCCAAGCAATACCTACACATACTGGAGCCGTCTATTATTCACCGACGAGTCCATATTCAGCCAATGGCCTCCAGATGAACGCAAAAGAGTGTGGAGAAGGCGGGTGTGAGGTACGCTCCTCGTAATATTTCTCCAACGATTGCTTTAGGAGGAGTCTTAGTGATGGTTTGGGGAGGCATAAATTTAAACTCTACTACGGAGTTGGTTCTTAAGGTCCAGGACTACTTAACTGATTTTAGGTACATAAGGGAGATCCTTGAAATTAATGTGATCCCTTTTACCAGAAATATAGGGTAAAGATTTCATTTTTTTGGAGGAGGGGGCTTCAGCCCTAAAGCTTTTTTTGTTAAATATAACGGTAATTACATTAGGAAAAAAAAAGAAAGAAACTAACTACCTATAATAAATGGTGTTTAAGTGATTCTTGAAGTCCTGTTAAATGTAATTACACGAACAAAAATACTTTTAGAGATAATGTGTTAATATTCTTTTCTAAAGATATGATAATTTCTTACTATTTTGGGGGTGGGATTGAGTCCGAAATTTAATTTAATTTAATTAGTTACTAAAACTAATTAACATCCATTAGTTTTCACTTTAATCGTTAGATAATTTGATAAATAATTCGAGAGTAGAGTAGGCCTACAAAAATTTTGGTCCTTTAGAGTGACCTCCGCACCCAATATTTCAAAAAAACGAGGTTATATAGACAAAACGGCCCAATATTTTTGTAGGTGACCATTATTTTCGATTTTGAGATTAAATTATCATACAATTCAAGTTAATAGCAAATGGGTATTTATGAGGTTTTAGTGATTAATTAAATAAATCAATTTAAAGAGAAAAAACCTCATTTCTAAGAATTTTGTTACATAATAAATGTGTAGGTTTCGATAAGATGAAGTCATTCACAAATTTATGCCGAACATTATTAATTTGATAAAAAGGGCCAATCAGAAAGCCAGGATTTCAGTGACGTCATAATGATGGGAAGGTTGAATTTTAATTTAAACCACGGTATGATGCCTTTTAGGACCTCATCTCTGTCTTAATCACTAGGCCACGACCAGTTTTTAATCACTTGACCAGTCACGTGACCTCTAAGTTACACCCCTTTTAACTCCTATCCTACTTTAACCACCGGGTTACGGTCAAATTTAGTCACGTGACCAGATGACAGCCGTTTTTGGATTATTTGACCTCCTCTTTATTCCCCCAATGTTCTCTAAAAGGCTGAGTGTGCCCGGTTGCAATTTTGTTTTACTGTGATTTAAGAGACTTATAGCTTTGACTTTAGTCACGTGACCGTCACCATATTGTTTTCTGGTACTTACGATATTTGGGGTTTTTGTATGAAGTCACGTGACCTCCGCAATCTAGTTTTACTAACTGATGTGCCCGCTGTTGACAGGTGTATAGTGCAAATTTGAAAATCTTTTTTTGATATGGATTTTGTATAATGGGGTCAATGGATTTTGTATAGCCTGATCAAGGCTGGGAAAATGCCCCAACAATTCCCTCCTCATAACACGCCGGCACCATAGGGCAAAGTTCGAGGTGATGAGGCTCCTTAGAGAAAAGGAATTCATCAGCTTTGATGAGGTTTATTGCATAGACAGAGAAGGCTCTACAAGATATGCGGATATTGTCGCGTTTCCCAGGACAGGAGGAACAGCGCTAATCTTGGATCCAACTGTCCGCTTTGAGAGCAATGACTTTGATCAGGCAGGTGAAGTGGAAAGGGAAAAGAGGAACATATACGAAAAATGCATCCCTTTCCTAAAAGATACATTCCGCGAGACCTTCGGAGAGAGAGAGTTCACCGTGAGAGAACTCGGGTTTGGGTCTCGCGGAACGATCCTGGAACGAACAAGGAGCTTCCTCGAGGAACTAGGTGTTGATGTTGGGGAGCTAGCGATATTGGCCGAAAATATTATTTTGAACTCCCTGGGGATCATCCAATTTCATCTATATACTGATTGAGGACGTATTTTATTAATTGTTTATAAAATTTTAAATTGGTCAATAACCGTCTTATCTTTTTCTCTACATTCGAGGAATTGCTGTGTTATATATGTGTGCGATGTTGTATTGAGTTCCTGGCGTTTGAGAATTTAAGGAGAAAATGAAGTTTTTTTTTGTTTTTATCTTGGGGAAATGTTTTTTATGCTATGTCTATTGTTTAATATGGTTTATTGTTGATAATATGTTAAAGTATTGCTATGAAAGGAAAGAAAAAAAAAGAAAGCAAAGATATGTCATATATATATATATATTTTATATTACATTTTTCCATCTTTCATGTATATATATATATATATATATATATATATATATATACATGAAAGATGGAAAAATGTAATATAAAATTGATGTCCGTATGGATTGATTAGTATGCTGTGTACGAAGCAACCCTATGTAGTAGGACAGCATTACTTTTAATAAAGTATTTCTCTCTCTTATAAAGATGTGATATTTACCTACTCTAATAAATGCCCATCATAATGCAATATTATTCTCTATGAGTATTAAAAGAAAATCAGGTTCATTTCAGTTCCTAACAAATAAAACTATTAGTTACAGAACATCTATGAAGGTCTAAGTAAATATAAATTTAATTATTTATTGAACAAGTATAGGAGCATTACTTCATCGTTTTATTTCTCTTATTTAATGGAATAGTTCTAAAAACCTTTTATCCATAAAAACAGAGGCTATCACATGCACGTTCATATGCTAGTGAATAGTAGCATAGGCCATTTCTTAGTTGTTGTTTTTTGTTTTAATATTAATAACTTTCTTTAATTATATCGCTATATTAGCACAAAAATAAACTGCAAAAAATAAAATCTATCTCAATCACTTATTTTGTATCAATATTCCTATGATAGGTTATTTTATAATAGCTTATATATAGATTTCACATCACGAATTGATGAAAAATAGTGCATCAGGACATGCATCCTATATTTATTTTCTTTTGAGCTTAACATTCTGACCGAAAAATTCATGGAAAAAATGTATTACTCACCATCAGGCACATAAATATTAAGGTAAAGACAGTCTTCACTATATTCAATAGGTTTTTGTAATTTTTCCACTAAACCAAGCTTATCTCCATCTTCTATCTTATTCATAGGCTGTTTACAAGAAGGACGAAAAGATGTTGCATCCCTTGTTCCATCCCACTGAGGCCAGGGTTCTGTTTGTGGTCTTTTAAATCGTAATGAACCAATTGGTGCTTTGGCATATGGAATCCCTGAAATACAATAGACTTAATCAATTTTTGAGCTTTGGTGAATGAAGTTTGTGTATTTAGTAATTAATTTGTGACCTAACCCATGTCTTTACACTCAGTTATCAGAATAATTTTTATAAAAGAAGAGATTTTTATAAAATTATAAAAACATAAAATTAAAAAATATGACATATACTAGTAATGGATTTTTAAAAACATAGTTTGTGAATATATATGAACATATATGGTTTGTATAAGTTATGATTGCATAAAGTATTGCTTATGTTATATAAAAAGTGAAATTATGGGCTTATTATTAATGGACAGCAAAGTATAAAGTTTATAAAGCACTCTTATTATCTACAATGATTATTTAACTTAAACCGTTAAATATGTATATGTATATACACCTGCCGCATTGACTACCAGCAAATATGATGGAAGCATGAATATGTATTGTATTGGTTTCATTTATTCTATATTGGAATCAAACGTTATTCATTCATTATATTTTCATAATATAAGTGTTTATTTCATTAATTTACTTAGGTCTGTTACCCATGGGTGCCCTAATCCCTCTTAGTAAAGGCTAGACCTCAAAATTGACCACTACTGCTCTTCCTAATCTAAATTTATCATCACAAAGACCAATTCCCACTAAATTTTTATTACACAATAGAAAACAAAATTAAATATTCATAACTTTAAATTTTCAGTGCATTATTTTCAATTTATCTTCAAGTAATCTTTTGGACAACCCTAAAAGACCAAATATGCCCCTTATCCTCCATTGTGTTACCTGCTAGAGCCTAAATCTAAATGAATAAAAGAAGATAGTCTAAGAAAAATATAGCACCACTAACCGTTAATTCGTCTTAACGTTCTTTTTGAGTATGGTACCTTAGGTATTGTGGGTCTGCTATTTAAGGGTATTCCATCATAAAGAATATGCTCTTTTAACATTTTGCTACGTAATTCTGTGCTTTGTGGAGTTTCTTGGTTGTTCGTAAAAGTCTTGTTAAACTGTCTATTCTCAGAAGCTGGTTCTATATTTTCCGCTTGTTCTATTTCTCTTTGCGAATTCTGGTCCAGTATATTGCCTCCTTCCGTTTTAATTGTCCTAATTTCTGACTCTGATAAAAAAATGCGCTCCATTATTTGCTTTATCTGGTCAGCAAGTCTTTGGGATGATACCACTATTTGCGGGTATTTTTCATTCTAGTAATGGTGGATTCTACTGTGGTATCCAGTTTTTTTCTTTTTCTAAGGTTGTAGCCAATAAGTAAGCTCGGATTCCGGCAATATTCATATTGCGGTCCCACTTCATCCTTCGTTGCCTACCTACTTGGCCAATGATTCCTCTTCCTCGAACGGGAGACTTCACAGTTGAACCGTAATGTTGAGAATCCTATGACAGCCATTCTTACGGGAACATACGACACGGAGGCACCGTTCGCACCACCTGCAGATGTCGAAGGCTGAATATCCAATTCCTCCGAAGTAGCCCTCATTTCGGATTCGCCCGAGGCTATTTGTCTCCTAGTTCGCACCATTTTGATGGGTAGAAATATTTTATACCTGCTGCCAGGTCATCCTATGGGAGGTAGCCCTAGGGTGTGTACTGTATGTGTTCTTATTGTTAGTGTAAATGATTTAGTGGACTGTTGTGTGTGTATTTGTAGATAAGGTACTGTACTCAGGAAACCGGGGGATCGTAAAACCCCTGCAACTGCACCTATCAGTTGCCCCTTGCGCGTTTATTATTATTCTTACATTGAAATCAAGCGTCGTTAGTTCTTTTTTAATCACTTCAGTTGGGGTCGAGGAGCATAAATTTCTTATCACCACTGGTAACACCCTCTCCTGTCTCAGCTGGTACGTGTGAAAATTCGTCTTCGTTTCTGATATATATTTCACTATTTTTCGATGTTTCATGAGTATCTGGTATTATTTTAGTGTCATTGGTCTTGCTGACACATGAATAATTGCCGAAACCGATTTTATTAGTTTATTTAATTGGGTGCAAAACTGTAAATTCTTTATAATGGTATGGAGATGGTTGACCTTAGATTCGAATTTCAGAAGTTAGTCGGGTGTGTGGCCAGAAAATAATATAGTATCTTTATTGCATTTTCCAGCGTTTCGGCCTACGTTGTAGGTCTACTTACGGGCTATATAAGATACAAACAATATATATTAGTTATTTAATTATAAATCATCAATATATAATTATTATAGAAAGTTACAGTATACTCGTATGTAGATGACTATTGACATTCTGCTCAGTTTGGAAAGTTAATGGATCATTAAGATATATGGAGTATATTAAGGGTAATAGGCATAGGCGCAGACTCCGGGGGAGGGGCGAAGGGGGCGATCACTACTCGTAACGCTCACTCCTGCCTCAGCTAGTAGGTGAGAAAATTCGCGTTGGTTTTTGATAAGTATTTCACTATTTTTCGGTAGGCTTCGGCAGAATCTGGTGTTATTGGTCCTGCTGAGGCATGAATTACTGCCAGAGCAGATTTTATTTAGTTGGGTGCAAAACTGAAAATTCTTTATGTTTTTCACAAATATTTGAGGAGGCCTTGGTTCTCTGGGTATTGCTGCAGACTCCATTACCTCTCAGTCATTCTGAAGCACTTGTTAGGGGTTTGAAGTAAAGAAAGGGGATTCTTCGACCATTTCTTGCGAAGACGAACCTTGTTGGGGCAGAGGTTCTGAAGTGTTCACTGTGTTCATTGGAGGGGTTTCTCGTAGGCAGCGACGAGTTTTTTTTTTTTTTTTGGCTGGTGAACCACGAGGTGTACTAAAGCCGTCTGACCGAGTCCTCTTAGTGGGAACCTTACTGAACATCTCTTGTTGATAATACCGTATATCATAAGAAAACAATAAAAAAAAGATATCAAACTGTAAATATCAACTGCTCTGATGTACACTTGAACTGTATTTAGTGAATAATCAGAGAGATTTCGCTGGAAAAGGTTCTGAGAATATATGAGTTGATCTGTGACATATGGAGAGAGGAAAAGATGCCGGATGACTGGAGGATTGGATTAATATGTCCTATTCTTAAAATAGGCAGCAAGGATCAGTGCTCAAATTATAGAGGAGTAACCCTATTGGGAGTCCTGTATAAACTCCTTTCTACTTTAATATTGAAAAGGCTGCGAAAATATAATGAAGACATTTTAGATAATTACCAGTGTGGTTTTAGAGCTGGCCGCGGTTCTACAGATCAAATTTTTGTTATAAGGTATTGATTTTTTTTTATATGATATTGACGTGCACTTGTCATTCGTTGACTACAAGCAGATATTTCATAGCATCAAGACATCAGCACTGTTAAGAATGCTAATGAAAAATGGAAAGCCACATACACTAATTAATTTAATACGCATGACCATGGAAAATGCATCATCCAAAGTTGTTATGGGAAATAAAGTTGGTCGATTGTTCAAGGTACAATCTGGAGTCTGCCAAGGTGATGCCTTATCGGCAACGATATTCAACATAGCTGTGAATGCTGCTGTCAAAGATGCAGCTAAAAAAGGCACCATCGTGGATAAGACCTGGCAAATTTCTGCTTACACTGATGACCTGGTGACAGGTGCGCTAAGTGAAAAGGCACTTGAAGAGGCATTTGAGATCATATACGATAGTGGTAACAAAGTAGGTCTTGTGGCCAATAAAAACAAAACTTTTTTTTTTTATATCTGTTTATTGAGAAATAATACATTTTGCCACACTTAAGGGCACTGAGTACTAAGGCTGAGTGAGGCACATTCATACCATATATACAATACCATAAATAAAATAATAATAAAAAATAAATAAATAAAAAATAATAAAAATCTATATAACAAAGGCTTTTGCCTTCAAAGGCTTTTGTTTTTACTATAATAAACCAAGGAAATGTAACTTACAGTTAAAATTAAATGAAATACAGAAATTCGTAGGAAAATTAAATAAATTATAAGTAATAGAAATAAACAGAAAAACATTCATACTTAAATACAATATTTACAATTAGGCAAGAGATCTCCGAGTCCAGCCCTTTCCCTCACGTGTGAAGGACAAAGCGAGACTCTAAGAGATCCCAGCGCTTCTCTCTCACCGCGTCGCCGGCATTACCAGTCCGGTAAAAACAAAACTAAATACCTCAAACTGTCCTCGGCAGAAAGTAAAAGATCCTGCAGTGAAATCAGAACAAAGAATTATAAGTTCAAAAATGTACCCACATTCGTATATGTCGATTCTGCTCTAAATAACGAAAATGTAATCAGCAGAGAAATAGACAAAACAGAACAATGGCTGGTAATAGAGATTACTATGCAAACTTAAAACTTTTCAAGTCTCTATTGTTGTCAAAAGCCACAAAATTAAAACTGTATAAAACGCTTATAAGAACAGTAGTCAGCTATGGAGCGAAAACCTGGTGTCCATCGCAAGAGGATTGCCGTAAACTAAAAGTATTCGAAAGGAAAATAATAAGAAGGACTTACGGTGCTACTGGTGAATGGAAAATCAAAATTAACAATGAAATTGAGGCTATATTAGAGAATCAAAACATTACTAACTATATCAAGGCAAGTAGGGTGAGATGGGCAGGACATGCGGTCAGAATGAAGAATGAACGGGTGAAGAGAAAAATATTGGAAGCACACTTCAGTGGGAAGAGGAAAAGAGGGAGACCGAGAAGCAGATGGAACGGTGAAGTGGAACGAGATGCGAGGAAGTTCGGAGTTCGCAATTGGAAGAGAGTAGCACAGGACAGAGAGAAGTGGAGAAAAATAACTCAGGAGGCCAAGGGTCATGCTGGCCTATAGCGCCGAAGAGTTAATTAAATTTCACTTTCGAAGATACTAACATTGAGAGATAGATGCAGAATTTTGTATACGTAGCACGCAAGTGCTGTCTTATCGTCTCTGGCGATGGCCAGTTGAGAAAAAGGGTACGGCGCCAATAGTATTTTATTAGTGATAGTAAATGACTAGAAGCTACTGAAGAAAGTGATGGAA